TTGGAGAAGAAGTACCCTGGCAGCATCGTCATGATTTCAGGCGGCAGAGAGCCGCCAACTCGCCAACGATGTCGCTTGCCGGCCTGATCAGCACCGCAAACAAGCAATAGTTACGGTGGCACGCACACACCCGGTACAGTCAAGTGTGTCTTAACCGAACCCCAGCACATGATACTAAACTGCAAAGCAACACTCTATGGACAGTTGCATGCAAGATGCTGCGTCGTCTCACCGAAGCGCCTGAGGAAGAAATCATCAAAGCGAAGAGTCGACAATGTTTGGGAAGCAGGCCCGTTTGTAACACAGCATCGCACATGCTAAACCGAGCCTCGCCCAGCGCCTTGCAGGAGTACCACCCTCGTTGTTCGGCTTTGGAACATCCAGAGCACGGCCTGTGTTCGAGCGATACCCCGGTCCCGGAACTCTAATGAAAGACTACACTAATGAAAGACTACATCGCCAACACAGTGTTTGCTTTCAGATCCATGCCGCCTCCATCTCTTCACGGGAGGCTTCTCCGGATGGTCGCACCTTTCAGCGCATTCTGTACTCGAGAACAATCTGATCTCGATGTCTGGAGAAATTATACTCTACATGCAGCTTCGGCGCAAACCGTGGACATGGCGGTCGAACAAAGCTTCGGAGACATGATAAGCTTGCCAGGCTTCCCGGATGTTTTGTCCCCGCCAGGCTTCCTTCGTGCTGGACCTGAAAAGTAGTGCCGCATCCGTGCCCTGCGAAAACCCCAGCTTGGTAATGGCTGGATGGTGCGGATGCATCACGATCGGAGTCCACCAGCCCTCTGGCTCCAAGGCCGTGGGCGACGCTGGTATATGACTTGATTGAAGTCGCATGACCACGCGTCGGTCCTTGCCCATAGAATATTCAACGCCAGAACCGGAATAGAAAAGAGGCTCGAACACGGTGGGGCACCTAGTCGTCGCCTGGCAGGTTTTGGTCGGGATGCAATGGAACCGTTGCAGGCACCACGTCACCGTTACTTATAAACTGAGTGACCTAAGTATCAAAACTTTCGGAGAAGCAAGCCACTGTCCAGAGCCGAGTTACGGAATCATCTTTCGATGGAGAATTGTTGGGCACTGATTCAGAAGTTTCTACCTGTCTCGAACAAAAACACGCGTGTTCAGTGAGTAACAAGCTATACGTACAGAAAACCCACGCAAACAATCCCTAGCAAGATGTCAACACGAATTGTAGCCTGAGCATTGAAAACTACATAACCCGATGACCTGCTCCGCGACTCCTCGGAAAGAAGATCTGCGACGGACCCTTTCCTTCGGTTCAGAAACTAATGTCTAACATCTTCGAAGATGCAGCGACCGCTCTGGTGGTGTCCTTCTGCTGTTCGGAAAGAACAGGTGCAAGAGCGCGGCCTGGACGAAGGTCGGGGATCTCGCCACCGTAGCGAACAAGGTCTCTGCGAAGCATATCACTCACCCATGGCCTGACTGCTTCCGTACTGACAACAAGTGCACGTTTTACGTGAGTTTGGCGCGACACAGGTCTTATATATACGTGCACTCACAAAAGAGTCGATGGCATTCAAGCGTCATGCAGTCAGGTGTCTCCCAGCCGGAGCCTAGCAAATCGCATACACTGGTCGCATCGCTTGTTGCGCTTGCCTCGGGTACAATGGAGCATGTGAGAATGCGATGCAGTCATAAGTTTCACTGCAGCCAAGAAACCGTACACAGGTGCTCTACTCGAAATGCAGCGGCGATGTTCGTAGGGTCAAGCAAAAACTTGCCCGTTTGCCGGTCTTGATGCACCATGCATGACCTGAGCCGAAGATGATATAAGACTAATATCTACGGTTTAAGGCAACCACTCTAACACAAGTAATTTCGTCGCGAAGCATGTAGCAAGTCGGTGATTTCGACTTCATGCCAAAGGTGTCTGCGGTGTGACAGATTGATAAAGATACCGTCGCTGTTGCTGCGCAAGGCAATGAAGTGCTTGTCCTTCCCGAGAATATATTCAACATGTGTACGGATTTCTTAGACGTCGACCGGAATCACAGTTCTCCTTGGATCGCGGAGCCTGAAAAAATCCAGAGTGCCATACGACAGCTTTGGAAAAATAAAACAAACTCTTTTGCGAGTAGCCCATATGGAAACAGGGACCTGTTCCCGTCTGCCACGGCCCAGAATGGGCTACAGGTCGCGTACGGGACCTTGTAGCCGTGCGCCCGAGTGCATCGATGAGGCAGCAGTCCTTCTTCACGTCGCCTGCAAATAGAATATTGTATTTATGATCACGCACCTGATGCAACTTGCTCTTCGAGTCCTGTGCCGGGAGTTTTCGCAGCAGTGGTCTTATTCTTCTTCTGGCCTGATTGATCTGCATACGAAAAGCAATCCGATGAATCCGATGATCGAGGAACAATCACGACAGCAGCAAGCCTACGCGCGGCTTGAAGCCCCGATAGAACCGCGGGCGCGAAAGGCGTCGCCAACTGGGGCGGTCCTAATCAAACACGAAAGCTCGGCTCTAGTGATTCTACAAAGCGCTGCGACCGACCCACCTCGGCCGCGGGAAGATGCTTGCTCGAGGAAAGGCGTGCGAAGAATTCTCTTGGCGAGTATGTCACCTTGTATGACAATGTGCAACGAAACTATGCAAGTAGATTCTGCGGCGAACAAGCCAAGAAACACTCTCGCATGACGACCTCAGGAGCCTTCGTGTGCAGCTCCTTTACGCACCAGCCGCAAGACTCTCGGCGCACGCGTACGCACGCAAACGAACACACACAGTCACACACGAACGCATCATAAGCCCGCCACACATGACGGTCTCGTCCAACGGAAAGTCTTCGATGTTGGGGCTCGTCATTGCTGGCCTTCTCAAGTGAAAGCTGCACATGAAAGTTGCAACGAGCTGCACAAGTTTCGAGAGTGCAACTCTGTCGAACACGAAGACTAAGCTCATCGCTCGAACTCCTTCCAGCCAGCGGCCGTTTTCAAAAACCCCTTGGAACACCAACAAGCCAACAAACAAGCTAACATGTAACATCTAAACGTTTGAACTCAGATGCGATGTTTCAGGCAAGCAACAGCGGTATCCTCTGACGGCAGCGGCGTCAGACCTTAATGTACTAGGTTGTTACCATGACATTGGTCGCTAGGTCTATTCCTTAAACAAAAAATCCAGCTCCGGACTTACGCTGTCGCCGGCCGCCGTCAGCGGTACCCCTCAGAGACAGTTTGACATCACGCACACCAACAGACGCCGTACACGCTTTTGAAAAGCGACCAGCCTAAAGTGGCATCCATCGGATCAGGCAAGGAAGTCCTCGCAGCAGCACAACAACTGCAATCGAAGTAGTGCGGCCAAGGGTTTGTCCTCACCTAGCGACGGAGCCACAATTGACGAAAACACCTGAGACTCACCAAGTTCGGTGCAACCTAGGCACGCTTCCCTGGAGATGGCTCACTCTCTGCCATGGGCAGCCTCAAACAAAGTGCCATGACACTTCCGAACCTGATCAGATAGGATGAGGAGACCGAGTTCCACGCGGCACCTCGCAGGGGTCATCCTCCAACATGCTATGCTTGAAGTACAAAGCCATGACAGCCTGAGAGACATTGCTGGCGCGCTGTAATAAAAGAATGCGAACTTGTTTATTTTTTTAAGAGCCTGGCTCGACGGTGGCACAACAAGAAGGCAGAAAAGAGCAGGATTGTTGCTTGATAGATAGCACTGCAGGACTGTCGGACGGATTGCTTCAGCATGGCAGAGACATAGTCCTGAATTTACAACGACATACACAAAGCATTTCTCGATATCCTCCACGACAGTTAGCTTTGCGAATCACTCGGAGCGCATCGTGCTTTTTCAAATAACGGCAGGCTGCACATCGATTGCAACACGACACTTGCCAGACTATAGTGTTTCCTGAGACGGCTTCTGACGTACGCGACATGCGTGGCAGCCGAAGGGTCTTCCTCGACCGTGGAAGATGAGTTGAACCACGACGACACCAGAGCCCAGGGGGCTTCTACAAGGATCGTGTGTGGATTCCCATCAGATCCATTGTAGGCACATCTCTGGCAGAAGGGTGTAATCTTGTTCCTGAGGCGTTCTCCTCCACCTACAAAAAGCATGCGACAGAAGTTGTTTCAAAAGCCATCATGCTGCAGGTAGGGTTCTCGGATTGGCTGTTTGCTCACGTGTGGCAGTGTTTCCAATATAGCCGAAACACGCCAGTTTTGAAATCAGATCGCAAATCAGAGGTTGATTTTCTTAACGACACAAACCCCAGCATCGAAATAGTAGGTTGCAATTAAGCATGATTTATCATAGTGACATAGTGTTTCGACATGAAGCCAAAACAGCAAGTTCGAAACCCACAAAAAAACGAACCCCATTTACAAAAAAAAACGCCTTAAATCTGAGAGGAACCCCTACTTCGGCTTCCTGAGTATCTGAGATGCAGGCCTTCCCAACGTCGATGCCCAGGCAGTCCCCACTTCGCCTCGGCTAACGACACCCGGTCCAAAGCAGCCGAAGCGGTCTTGGATTTGAAATGGTTGCGATGCATGGGTTTAGGGTTTATAGCAGGGCTCGAGGGGTTCGTCGTCTGTGGGCCTTGAGGCATCGGGTTTTGGGGTTTAGGCTTAAGGCTCTGGGTTGATTTTAAGTGCTTACCATAGTGTCTCGGGGTTTAAAATCAGGACTTTGGGCAGAGCGCCTGGAAACCCTCGTCCCCTAACTTTCCAAGCGCAGGGAAACATTCGAGGCAGTGTCTGCGGTTACCAATGCCCGCCCAAAAAGACTTTCCACAAGACTATGAACCTGGAAATCCGGATGCATAAGCCATAATAATTAGGCCCTGCATGTACCAGTTTGGAGGACAACACAACCCTGAGTGCCCCAACAGCGCAAGTCCGACACCTTGCCGTTGCAGAACCCTAAACCTCCTCTCCCATCCGAGCGCGTACCGTAAGCTGCCTCACTAAGACAGCCTCAGCTCCTGAGCCGTTCGAAGCCATCTGGTGGACCCTTGTCCCCATGTACTGTACAAGTGAACCCCTTGTTGCCGACATGCAGAAGCTTGCGCTCTCAGTCCTTAAATTAAGCCTCTTCCCAGCCGTTGTTTCCTGAGCCGCCTATCCACAACTGCCTCAAAAGCTGGTGAAACTGCTCCGAATGATGGTCCTTTCTGTCGGACAATTTCTCGTTTTCGTCTTTTTGCGGCATCCTAAGGCCTATACGGGTTACCGAGACATTCTCATGGAATTCAAGATTCATGAAGGGCAAGAGAGATACTGTAAGCTTTTCTCAAGGCTTCGCGCCACAACGGCACTCGAAGAAGCCCTCAGGCTTTTTGTAGGGTTTTGGGTTTTGTGCTTAGAATTTCCCGTTCCAGACGAGTCAGATGCAGACCCGCGCTTTGAACGTTGCTTGATTTGCTAGGCTGGAGGACTCACCTGCTCGAGTGGCAAAGAGTAACACTTGCTGATCCTGAAGCCTGGAGAAACCTATAAAGCCCCAACCCCACTTAACCCCAAAGTCATTCAAGACAGTAAACCTTAAGTTCCTAGGCCCGCGCTCCTAAACCTTAACTCCCGACTTAAGCCTTCATCCCAAACCCCTTGGTCCAGGCGCAGCTCCAGGGGCGCACAAATAAGTTCTGCACGGCCTCGAGGACCGGACTTGGAGTTTTTGTGGCTCAGAAGCGTTTAGTTAAGGCTCCAGGGTTACACGAGGAATAAGACGCAGAAAGAGAAGGCTAGTTTTATCGTTTAAGTACAATTTCTCGCTATAACTAGGGGTTGGAACTCGGGTTCGAGGCTGACAGATTCAGAGTCTGTGTGATGCTTGTGGTTGAGTTTGGGGTTTAGGGCCCTGAAGATAGGGGTTTCAGGGAGGGAGTCTCATGTAGGATCTTAGCCCTCGTAAGGCTTGGAACCCAACATCTCCAAAAGGTTTCGGGCTTTGTTGGCGCGGCAATGCGTGTGGCAACAATTCTTGCTCAAATTCGGCGCATGGGATCAATATCGAGCAACTCGTTTGTGGGGCTCGGGGAGTCAGGTCACCCGAAGTGCGCCGGGCCGCAAGGTGCCGTGATATGGATAACTACTGCTCTATGATGATCAGTGGTAATTTAATGAGGCGGCTGTAGCTCGCGACTGAGATACCTTGCCTAGATTTCAGCCATGGAAAGCAGAGTGATGCAAAGGATGGCAGAGAAGCCCGACGAGCGAGGGGCGGGTGTGGTCAGCCCATTTCGGACACTTCCGGGAAAGGGGCTCAGCTCCCAACCTTGCCTTCAGTCCTGAAAATCCAGAGCTAATTCCAACTTTCAAAATTGCTTAAGTTCGGACGTTCAGGCCTTGCAATGTCCACTGCCCAGCAGTTACAACTTGATCCGCATGACCCCAAACCCAGAAACCCTAAAGCCCTTCCAGCCGGAAGCACGCATCAAAAAGAACGGATGCTCTCTATCCCGCATTCCTGAGTAGAGAACGCCCTCATGTTTCAGTGTTTCAATATCTGACGGAAAGGTGTCGCAGTGAGACCCTACCCTCCATGCCTGGCAGGCACAGCACCTTCTCAAAATTCGGCTTGGCCACATTCATGCCGGCCTTTTCTTCGGGAAGGTTCTTTTAACCAAGCTAAATCATTCATCCCCCTGAAACCTGAAACCTGCAACTTAATTAAGTTCTAAACCTGCAAGGGCCTTGGGAGGCGTTCGAACCTAGCCGACTAAACCCAACAAGCAGGGTGCGGGGTCCAAGGTCCAGTGTTCGGATCTGTCTTGGCGTGCTATTTAAGCTTTGGAAACTACCTGTGGAGGAATCTCAACAAACCAAGCGTAACCAAGCCATTGGACTAGGCTTTGGTTAAGCTGCAAAAACGAGACTCGTGCTTCGTTCTTCATATTAAGACCGCTCCTCCGCTAACACTGAGACGTAACCGTCGTGACAGCGATAGACGTGCGAGCAGGCATGTGTGTCGTTCGGGGTTGGCGTTTTGCGGTGTGGGTACTAGCGCCCAAAGTTCTGGCTAAGACCCATGCCTGGCCCATGGCTGCTTCCGAGACACCTTCATGGTGGCCACAAGGCGCTCGCCAAGTAAGTCGTCCGAAAGCCGATCACACCTCGTCTGGAGAAAGCGAATCGAAGTATCCAAAGCAACCCAAAGACTCTTTCATGCAGGTTTTGACAGACCGGACCTCTTTCATGAACGAACCTTATTTCAAGGGGATGTTTCGTGTATTCTGAACAGTTTGAGGGACATGCTTTCCTGAAGGCGAGCTGCTGCTTTGATTACATGCCTTGAATCTGTCATGTTTCATGTTGAGAGGATTGAGCTGTGAGGTCTGCACTGCTTTGGAGGGCTTACGCTTAGGTTTAAGTCTATTGAAGGATTCGCAGAGCAGTCAAGCCTCTCTGCATTTGTGTGCCGGAGCCCAGAGTAAACAACCTGCTTGCCTATCCGACCCTGCCATATCTGCAGGGCTTCAAGCGTCGACCTTGAAGCCCTACCGACACCCCCCCATTTACCTATAAATCGAGCTCTCTGCCATCGCTCCGTCAAGTGCTATCTAGAGGCTTCAGCAGAGCAGCTTGAGTGTGGGCATCAGCGTTCTCTTGCGAACATCAGACATCGCATGCTCTTTCTTCCGTATCACTTTCTTCCTCAAGAACGCCCGGAAGCGGCACCGTTGCTGCGAGAGGGGAGCGATAAAAGCATACAGCGTCTTAGCTTCATGTGCTTTCGTGGGTTTTTGGATGTGGCTATTTGCTTTCCGAGACACACCAGTAGGCAAGTTGCCGTTTCTTGGGAATGCGGATGATCAAGGGCGGCAGCAGGAATCGCGAAACCTGGCAAGGGTTTTGTGGTTCAGGTGTTTCTGAAGACATGGCGGCCATCCAATGCTGTTCTAAAGCAAAGGGTGGCCGTTACGAGGAGCTCAGACTCAGACGCGCTGAAGCGTGCACCAAACGACCAAAGACAGCCCTAGATTATCAACTACATGCGCATGCAAGTACATATGTCCTCACATGCATGTATCTTCAGAGGACCACGGTCCAAGATGCTCAAACGGCTAGATGACTCCAAGCAGAGTTGTGGCATGGCTGAACGCCAAAGGTCAGAAGACGGATGGGCACCTGACCTTGTCTAGCACATCAACCTGTAAGCCCAACCATGAACACAATGAGCCCGGAGTGATTGCCCACGGGGTAGATGGAAGCTTGACAAGGATATCATAGGGCTCAAGCCAATACGCAGAAGGTCGACAGGCTCAATCAACAAAGCAACCGAATTAAGAAACCTGAACTCACCCTGCACCCCCAATGATTTCCAATGATCGCTAGCTCCCCCAGAACTGACTTCATATGTGGCCTGTATCCAGCTGGCCCGACGACTGAACCGCCGTGGCTTTGTGGTCCTGCTCCATCTGGGGTCAAGGTCAAGGCACCCCAGGGCCACCGTGTAGTACCCCTTAGCTCTTTAGCCCTGGTTAACACTGAACTCGAAACAATGCAAATGATGCCATCAAGCAACTCTGAGCTTTCAATGCTAAACCCATTTTTCCCTCGGAGTTCAGCGAGGAAGCCCGAACCCAAAGCAGATCCGTGCTGTAGGTTAAATCCTTCGGAAGCTCCTGCGCAGTCTCTGCCACGGTTCACAAAGCCGACCCGCAACAATCGTAGCACCATACACCCGAAGACGCGCTTGCCCTGCACCCTCCACGGCGTAGTGTCCAGCAGCGAGTCTGCGGCGGCAGCCAAGCAAGGTGAGGGCTCAACTAATGCCAGGGAGGCGGCGACCTGCGTTTTGGGGACTGAGGATTCACAGGGCTTCAGAAAAGGTCCACAAAGAGCCCCTATGCTTTCCCAGCAGGATTTTACGTTACTCGGGTCTACAACCAAAACGTTCTGGAGTGCGGCTCTCGTGCCTGTGGGGGGTTAGGGGTGCGGGCCAGGGCCGGGCGGCGAGGGTAGACGGCAGAGGAGGGTTTTAAGAGTCATGCGGTTTTGGCGGCTCGCGAATTCTCAGAGAGCCCCGATACCTTGAATAAACAATCTTCGCGTAATCAGGGACCTTCATCAGGATTTAAGAAACGTCCCTGGCAGCTTAAGCATCGAGGTTGCCTGGAACACCAAAAGGCCACTAAAATTACCGACTCCAAACCCTAAGACCTAAAGTGTTGAACCTAAAACCCTAACTAAGTCCTAAATCCCTTCAATTCAACCGAAACTCACAACAGCCTAAACCCCAAAACCCTGGGGCCCTAAACCCCGCAGCCCCTAAAACCATGAGCCGAGGATGAAGGGGGCCAGATTTCGAGGCTTGGGCCAACCTCGGCTTCGCGGAAAGCCCGGGAAGCTGCGAGAGATCCGGCACCGAGGATCACGACCTTGGGCTTGGGTTTGGGTTTCCATAACTTCGTGTTGAAATAGGAGCATCTCCCGAAGACTCGATGTGTATCAAAGACGTGTATTTTTATCTGCTGCTGCCACTTAAAGGCTTGCAGTGAAATCAAAGACCAGAGGCCTGTGTCGGCACCCTTGTGCGGTTGTTTAGAGCCTAAAGACACACATGCCTTCCAGAGCTTGGTCGATGTTGCTGTAAAACAAGTCTGACATCCGCGTGTGCTTGCTATGGTTTCTTGGCGCTGATTCGTCAGCATAATCCCTTGGACTGTAAGCTGGCCACGTACTCAATTCGATCTTCGGACTCCAAGTCCTATACTTCGATAAGGTTTGGGATGAACACGTTTTGGGGTATTTGGGATTAAGATTTCCGATTTTGAGGCTTGTCGATGTTGAAAGGAAATCTGTCTCGAAGCTGCAGGATTAACCCATCAGACAGGTTCCGAGACGTCACACCTGAAAACCCTCGAGCTGCATGCGACCTGCCTGGTTCCCTACCTTGAGCTTTCCTTCAGCACCGGGCCTTTGTAGCTTTAAGTTTTGGGGTCTAAGTCGGGCAAGGTGCGTTGGGGTTTAGGTGTTTAGTGCCAAGGGCCTTGCAGGCTTGTAGCCTTGCGGCTTTTCATGCCGGTGTCTAGGCTAGCGGCTAGGGATTTATAAGGTCTTCGTCTCTGGGGCGTAGCATTGCTTGTGGTGGACAGCGATGCAACGATTTGAGTCTAATGCGGGAACCTGATCAACCTTAGGGCCTTCTCAACATGCATTCTGCTTTGTTGCTGCATTTGGGTTGGGTTTCGAAGTCTGACTCGTGGTCTTCTGACTTCTGACTCAAGGGTGTGTTTGATCTTCTGGGGTCCAAAGATCTCGGGCGCTCGAGCCCATGCTAAGAAGCAACCAGCAAGGCACCCTGAAGTATATCCGAACTTCACACAAAAGCCCTCAGATCTTTTCGTGAGTTCCTTCACACGGTGGTCTGAGTGAAAGCTTCCCTCTGCTGGTAGTTGCCTTGCAGATCGACATGTTTCAAGTGCAGCATCTTGCTCATTGCATCGACCTTGAAACAGTTGATGTAGCACCAATGCAAGCCATGCTTAGCATCTGTCAGCGTGTTGTATGCGACATCTGGAACATTTTGAAAGCGGTTGTAGTTGGAGAAGCCAAAAAAGCTCAGCCGCTCGATGACGATCTCCAAGCGTCGCTCGAGAGGGATTGCTGTCAGGCAGCCCTGAAACAGCTCAAGTGCTGTTGAGCATCGGGGGGGCAGACCCGTCGCCGTTGGTCGCGAACAGCTGCAGCACTTGCTAAAGGCGCCAGGATCGACCTTGCGGATTTCTGCCCTGATGTTGACGACTTCGGTGCGTCCAGGATGAGCATAGAACGCAGACCAATGCATCATCATGCCATACACGGACATGTCAGACAGCTCATACAACCCAAAGACTGACCAAGCAGGCACACCTGTTGAATTTGCCAAGAAGTCCAGCCACTCTGCTGTTACGGTACGGTCGTAGTACCACCACTGGTCCACGTTGTGAAAGACTTTCTTCCACCGTCTAGGTGTCCAGACTGACTGCGCATCGTCGTTCTTAAAGCGCATGCCATTCCTTCTGTGGCTGATGGAGGGCATCGGCTTAGCTGTTTTTGCAAAGCTGAACAGAGACTATCTCTGAAGCGCCGAGTTGCGTTTGGTTTGTCATCATGATGGCACAAGCTTGGTCGGTCCCATCGTCAGCCGCCACATTAGCACAGTCTGGCTCATCGTGCCAAGTGCTCACGACGATTCTCGGAGATCTGGAGTTCAAAGCCAGATGCTCTGTGAGGTTGTGCTTTCGGAAAGGCAGAGACTCGGCATCAGAAACCCAATATGTCTGACACTCAGCAGGTCCGTAAGCCACACGATAAAACTTCTTCACGGCCTGGTAAAGCAGCCTTCTCTTTAGTTTTCGCATGTGCTGCGGAGCCCAGCAAGCCCTCCAGCAGCAGAGGGTGGAAGTCCTCGTCAGAACAGCTCGCCCCGTGCCTTGAGCAGAAGTCTTCATACTCCACATCATCTCCAAACACTACGACCGACTTCACGGGCGGGCCGGTGTTTGTTCGCTTGATCATCTCCATTCGTGCTGCGAGGGCACGGAAATGAGGCGGATATACTGGCACAAGCATACAGACGGAGCTGACTGAAGGAGGTGGTGTCCTCAATGCGAGCTTCTTCTGGACTTGGCTTGGAACCAAAGCAGATTTTGGCAACGGCAGCTTCATGCAGCCCACCACGAAATGGAAGTCATCTGCTGGGTTGTTGCGAAACTCTACTAATCCCAGTTTTCGTCGTTCTGACAGCCCTATGCCCGAAACCTTAGAAACCGAATCACTGTGATGATTGGGTTTAGGCTTTGGGTCGATACATGAAGCAAGAGAATGTGTAAACACCCTCATATTCCGGCCTCCACCCTCAAAGCAGCCGTAGCCCCTCAAAGTCAAGTATCGCGCCAGAGTCTCATATCGAGCTTTCGTCTGCCGAACGAGAACTAGTCAAGTCTCAACTTCAGGCGCTGACATGGCACTCATTTTCCGGGAGTCTTCAGGCATCTTAAGGACTCTGTGAAGGTGGGCCTGCCAAAGTCTCTGCTCGCCCATCAGGAATCATCAGAACTTCGTTTCTCTGTTACAGGCCTTGGAACGCCTCGTCGATAGCCTGCTGGAAGCGCCCTAAATCAACACGCATGTAATCTGAAAGCGCGTGGCCCGCGTCAGCCACCATCACGTGGAAGTACCTCAGCCACGTTGACCCTCCGTGCATTCCCCAGTACGTTGCGACCCGAGGAATTGTCTTCCCGTCCATCTTAGTGGCATTGCATGGTACTTCACAAAGTCTGGAACCGGATCATGAGGATAGCCAGGAGTGTACCTTTTTGACAGGTACTTCTCGATCGGGTATGCATCGAAGACGTGGATTTCACACTTGTCAGAAATCTCCTTGTGGACAGCCCTCTCGAAAGAGAACTCTCCATCGTTGCCCACAGAGTACACCACGCAGCCCGCTGGGCTCTCTGCTGCATCTCTCAAACCAAAAAATCGCAGATCGTGAACCCGCCCTCTCCATCACGAAGTCTCCCACCCTGCCCGTTTCTGTAGCCTCCATAGAACCTGGCATCCAGACAAAGGCCAGATATGCAGGGACTACACAAGGGGTTACTCTTACCAACTTTTCAATACTCTTACCAACTATTCCGATCCATATACTATCAGATTCGACCAGGACCAGGGCCCAAACCCTAAATTCTGAAGCCCAGGCGCTGTGCAGATGGGCACTCGATGTTGAACAGCTGTGGGCTTGGTGTCGTTGAGGCCGGTAGTACTATGGGGGCCTAAATACTTGGAATAGAGTTTTGCGGTTTGACCTTTGTACAAGAAGGTTTTGTTTATTACTAATTATTCCGACTCGGTGCTTTGGGCGCTGACAGCGCTGACCTTGGGATCTGCGAAAAACCCAAAAACAGTATACACAAAACCAGACGGCCTCCAGAATGTAGGGTTGAGGAAGAGCGATTGTTCGGGTATGGATATTAGGGTTGAGAATCCGTCCAAGCGAAACTTGTCTTCTGATGGATTTAGGAAGTTGCTGGCATCGCCGACTCCTCTGTAACCGTTGCAGAAGGGATGGACGCGGCGTGCTGCGACGGCGCTGGAAGCTTGAGAAAGCCAGAGACAAAATCGAATATCCAAACATGTAACCTGCAGTCGCACGGCAGCAGCTATCGGCTATCGGTATGAAGGCGAAAAACTGACAACTAAAAGCCAAACTAACATCCGTAAGGCTCATGACAGCAATTAAAATCTAATTGAAAATCCTCATCCCCTCAAGCCGCAACCGGCAAAGCAATCAAGAGCTGCATTGCACCGCGGAGCACGATGCCCGTACATGGCAACAGCACGCAGAGGAGACATCTTCTGGACACCATCGGCGCTTGGAAGAAGGGACTATCATTCTGCATCACAGTTCGCATGATTGTGCTTGTCTCCAATCTTTATATGCCACGGTTCACCTCACTGTCCGCGCTCTATCCGGCCCTACCAACAAGAATCATTGTTCCTCTCACTTCCACTCCTAGCGTTGCTACTGGTACTTCTGCGAGTTCTACTGTTTCTGCCGCATCTGCTATGTTATGACTGCTGCAACTCTTGCTTTACTGCGACTACTAGTACTACTACTA